GAATATTATAAAGACTGACTTCTGCATAAGCCCAGCTACTAAGGCAGTGAGACAGACAAACCTTTCTAGTTGCTTTTCCTTTTTTTCTTCCCTTTTTTTTTTTTTTAATGGAATCATAATCAGAGACATGGTGTATTTGTAAGTAATATTCCTTTTGTGAACTGTCAGAGTTTCCCAGTCTCTCTGTGCTCATTTTCACTTACTGGGGTATGTATGGAGCACACGGTTTTACAACAGTTCTGATACTCTGCACTGAATTGTCACAAAGTTGTAAAAAATCACTAAGATTCGTGTCTTGAACTGCATTTTGCTATGCTTTCCATAAGTCAATACTGGAAGTGAATTTTATATACAGAATGTATTTTTCTGTTGACGTGCATTAACAAGCCATACACAGCAAACACCCAAATGCCCAAGGCTCAATGTCGAAGTGTGAAACAACAGCGATTTTTATTTATTTGTTTAGTTTTAAAGCAAAAGAACTCTAAAAATAGGCCATAAAAACCATTGCAACTCCTCAAAAAAAAAAAAACAAAAAACAAAAAAACCCAAAAGCTAATGATATTAACTTAGGAAGAAACTGTTCTGTACACTGTACCTTGCTGCGATTCATAATTGCCAGTAGAAATCTGGTTTTTACATCTTCACTGCAATAAAAAATTTACTCCCATTATGAATGTAATTTCTATATTACATACAAAATCATCAGTTCTAATTGTTCTCTAGCTGTCTGAGAAATAGAGGCTGTTAATATTCATGCTGGATTATAAGCTTTTTATATAGCCTCAACAATTTATTGTAATGAATGTTTCAATAGGTGTGTGATATTGGTTTTCAGAGGTATTAAATTATTCAAATTCATTGGAGTCAATATGACCTTAATTTTTTATATTGCATTATTATAATGTAATTGCTTTCCCCATATTTGGTATACATCTTGATTGCTGAGTAAGTTCTGTGAGTTTCCCACAGTGCAGGGCACTCAGCTCAGGCAGTAAATGCAAGAGTCAATGTAGTGTTTTAGACAGTGCAGATGTCAGTGAGTGGTGGATGAAGAGTAAAAACCAAGTAAGACTTCATTTCTGCCTTAGAACAGCATAGAGCTGTTTCTCTCTCTTCCACCTCGTCTCTTTTTCCACAGCAGGACCTCAGTTTAAGCCCAAGCACAACTTTTCTTCACTTGGGGTTGTGGTGCCATACTGGGCAATATTTCAGTCCTATAAACCAGAAAGACCACAGCTGACCCTCAAGTGAAAGGAACTTCCCCTCCTAGAATTTCTTAGAAATCTGATAACATTTCTTACTTGAAACTGAATCTAAATGAAATGACTTAGGGCCTGGATAATCAGACTCATTGCTGGTGGTGTGTTTGAACTTTGTATTATAGCAGTGCCATGTCACATAATCAGGGCAAAACGGTCAGAACTGAAGAGACTTACATTGTCTTTCTTCAGGTCATTTATTAGACCAGACATCATGTTATTCTGCAAACAAATGCTATTCTGATCCCATTAAGTCTGCTGTAATAAACCGAATCACTGATAGTTATGGAACCAAAATATTAAATATATTAAATATTAAAAATATCAAGCTTACACCCATGTGGTCACATTTTAGATTTAAAAAAATCAAGTCAGACAATTAAACTCATACTTTTCACTGCTACCAGTTATGCCTTGCAATGCAAACCCTAGAAATCACACAAAAGGGAACATACTCATAGCAATAAACACAAGAGCCTCCTCTCCACCCCCTCCCCCCAAAAATTCCAAAAAAACCCAGCCCCCTAAAAAAAAACCCCCAAACCAACAAAACCCAAACCCCATTAAAGCACATACACAAGAACCACCTAAGTAAGAAATATACTGTAATTTTACCATGGCTCATCTGTTGCCATATTGTATAACTTAAAACTGAGGACCCCAGTTAAGCAATCGTGTTTATCTCTGCTTACCCTATTTAAAGACACTGTTCAATGCACAGGGCTTGTAGCTCCAAGAAACAAAAATACTCCTTCCTTGACCTTGGATTGTGATTTTAAAAGCTGTAATTCAAAAGTACATGTGTGGACAAATGTGGCTGCTTCAAAGCCAGACTGCAGACTGTTTCCCCAAAGGGATCACTTTGTCATTTATGCCTTCTAATAGTGTCTAATTGAAAGAATGCTGGTTTTTTCAAAGTACCTCCAATTCCTGTGCATAATGTTATAAATGCCTTTTATTAGTTCTTAAATTCCATTTTTACTGTGGGTCTGCTTTAGGGACTTTGTTCATTATCTAATTTGCCTGAAATTTCGACCCCTGGGTTATTGGCAGGAAACCAATTGCCCTTTACTTCTTTCTTCTGTTAACTGCATAGTTAGAACTGAAGGACTAAAAAGTCATCATGAAAGGAAATTACACAAAGGTTAACTATAGTGATTGCTTTTTACTTTCCAAGGTATTTGCTCCAAGTTAACTTTTATTAAACCAGAAGGAGATCTGAAGGCACTAGTAGACCTTGCTGGTTATTTTTTTTTTTTGGCTATCCAAAACACTATTGATTTTTTTGTGAATTTCAGTGATTCATTTAAGGAAAGAACTTGTAATAAAAGTTTTCAGACATTAATAATTTTTCTTGTATTAAAAAAACCTGAGTAAACCATTCCAAAAGCAAAATCAATATCCCATGACACCAGCAATGACCATCACTAGTTATTTGTTAGCAGCAAACAGTTTACAAATAAAGAGGAAAATATATTTGTAAAAGGTAATCTAAAAATAATGTGAGTACTTTGAGGAAACTGAAAAGGCCTACACACATAAGACCTGTAAAGAGAAAGTGCTATGAAGTCTCTGATAAGTTCTAATTTAATGGCATTTAAAGTTGTCATTTATCTGATAATGGGTCAGTTTGGCAACTGAAGAAGTATCTAAATCTACATTCCACCCATTTCTTCTTGGAATGTCGTTGCTTATAAACAAGTACTTGTTCTTATAAGCAAAACATATCTGATAAAGATGACTTGCTGGAATCACCTGAGATGTGTTGACTCCAGTTTAGTCTGCAACCTGTGCCTGGACCATACTTGGGGACAGAGAAATGCCACAGGAAGAAAAGGATTCAAAAGTATTTACTCCTATTTTTACATACAGGACACTCCCTACAGAAGCACAGTTCTACCATGGACAGCTGCTCCAAGTTTTAAGACATTACAAGAGCCAGATTTTTCCCCCTCAGGGTCTATAACTAATTCTGAGAGTTCTTTTTCAAAAACAGAACAAAAGCCCTCATGCTGAAAAACAGTTTGGCTCTTGTTTACAAAAAATGCTCTACGATACAAAAATTACTGTATTTAACATTTAACAGTTCAACACAGAACATTAGACATCCACTGAAGGTTGCTTTCTGACCTGAAAGAAATAATTACTTTCAATTACCCAATATACAACTGAATTCAGCAAGGCACTGTACGGTTTCAATGAATGCACATTATTCAAAGCACGTGTGGGCCTTTTTTTCTAAAAAAAAAAAAAAGAAAAGGAGAAAAGGTACTGGCATTTGTTTTTCCACGTGAAATATAGTATTGAAAGCTGATTCAAAGCCTTTACAATACAGTGAAACACTTTGCTCTGAGTTCAGTGGACCTCAAATGAGGCATCTAGGGAAAAAAATAGAAGGTAGGTGAGGTTTAGGAAGGATAGTTTTGATTAAAAATGAAATCTTCAAGAGGATATCAAAACAAAAAGAACTGAGCACATTTACATCTATTTTGGCACTGGTTCATGTGAACTGCAGTAAACTACACTATCAGAAATTAAAGGAATAATGGGAAGAGATTTCAAAATAGAATGGTTTAAAAGGACCTAGCTAAGAAATATCATTAAGCCACCTCCTGTGATGAACACCTGCAAGAAACTCTGCACAGGGCACTTTCTGAACACTTGAGTTTGGAAACATTGCTTTTGTGCTGATTAACAAACTTAGGGCTGGGGGAGGAGCAGGTGTGAAATTGCTACAGTTTGAGATTTCCGGCTGGGTTTTCTCAAACAAATAACACACAGCTTCATGGAAAACTAACACGAATTCAGTTTAAGAAGCACCAGTCTGCCCAGTGATGTTGAAAGAAGGGATAGAGTAAGGCCACATAAACATTAGTTTTATTTTGCCATTCTCTTTTTTGCTGTGAGGACTAAGCACACCAGAAGGTGAGACTAACAGGGCATATAAGAATGCCAAAATTATTGCCTGGGAGTAATGCCCTGTTCTGTGATTTCCTTCTCGAGCACATGGGGTTTTTTAATACTGAGCAAAAACTGCATATTTAGATTCCAAGGCTTTTAGCATCTTGAGGGTATAATTAATAGCCAAGTACAAAATATACTGAGTTAAAAGGAACTACACTGCAGGAAGCCAGTATTGTTGGAGAAAAAGGAGACAATCAAAAGACAAATGCAAGCTTATCTTAACAGCAAGTACTTAAGACAGTTTTCTTTTTTTTCTTTTTCTTTTTTTTTTTTTTGGATTTCACAAGTGCTTGAGGAGAAAAGATTAATTGCATTTATTTTACAGTAAAAGCACAGAAATATATGACCAAGTATGATACAAATGTTTTTCATTCCCACATTAGAATGCCTGTTTTCTGAATAGATGTAAATACAGAAAGCTTGAACTAGACAGATATCGGATGAATTCTCAGTATAAAATCAACACTAACAACTTTTAATTGCCTGTTTTCTCCTGTGAATCCACTTCACTAACAGCAGATGTGCAACAAGGGGATTAAGACTGAATTTGTGCCCTGAGCCACACGACTCTTTCACAATGCTGACTTAGTGACTTTAAGCTTATATATTCAAAACTACCTCAAGGGTTACAAAGTAAATAAAATGCTGCAACTACTTACCTGTGGGAAGTGTCTTCCACTTCTATATATCAGAATGATGTTTGTATAGGTTCTCTAGCATTTCTGAGCTTTCTGTATACAACTGCAAAGTTCTGGAGTCCCTGTAAAGACATACCTCTCAAGGAGCAGCAGAGGCAAGGCAGCAGGAGCACAGAGGACAGGCCACATGATCTACACGGGAGACAGAGAAGGGCACATCTGTGACAGAGACCAGGGAAGCAGATCTAAGCTCAAATAGAAAGGAAGGGAGTGGAGGTGGGAGCCAAGGGCAGGTGAAGCTGGTCAGGGCATTTAAAACCTGCTGCCCTTGGGGCCGTGACAATACCCAGGTGCACGTGTTTCAGAAGTGAAATGAATTAAATGGCTTCAATCTAGTCCAATTCGTTCTTTATCAACATAGAAGAAAGCTAGCCCAGTTACCAGGCTGCCCAGGAACTGTAATGAGATGAGAAGAGCTTGGCTGGACTGAAGTGAGCTCTGTTGGCAGAGCTGTAGGGAAAAGCTTGTGGAGCACCTGCTCCCATCGTGCCTGGCTCGAGCAGCCGGATCTAGATTCACAAAATTTTTTACATACAATAGTTTTTCTCTTGAAGGGAACGAAACAATCACACAAAATATTTCCAAGATGTGATCTTTCTTTTAAATATTTAAAAGCTGCAGAACAACCCCTCAAAAAAATCAAGAAAATGAAACATAGCTACCAAGGTACTATTAACACTTTATAACTGAATAATAAAAAGTAACTGAAAAGTCCATTCAAGAGATGTAAATTCTCCTTACACAGTCTATGATGTAGCAGCTTAAATAATTCTAGAGGAGCTGTGGAGAAGACTTAAGCAAGAGTTCTTTGAACTAGTAGCATTTCATAGCCTCTCTGGATCCATGGGCAGCATATTCTGCTCCCCAAAACACGACAGAAAAACTTGCAAGCTTCATTGACTGCTAAAAATCTTGACTCTTAGTCTATGAGTGTCTAATTTACCTCACTGCTTGCCCCCTTTAACTACTATTAGCCACATTCTGGTTTTTTTTAATCATCTTAATATGTTCCATTTTCAATTTTTTTCAGCATTCCTCTTCCCTCTCACGATACTCTCAGAAGCCAAATATTCCAATTAGTCTGTCTCTTTTCATGTTATAAAACTGATAATGAGACAGAGAAAGATGCCTTAGAGAGTAAAAAAGCAAAAAGTAAAAATGTTTTTAGGGGTGAATCTGACTATACTAAAGAGGAACTTTGCTGTGGGGATGTGTTCAAAAAATTTGCTGGGTTTTAAGAAATATCTTCCATCTCACTGCACACCAGAGCATTTTGATAAGACTGTGCTGTCAAACACACCATAGGAAAAAAAATATGGAAAACACACCACGTCTCTCCAATTCTACCTCTATCTACCAGTATTCAATATAGATCTTGTGCAGTCAAAGTATTATGGTTTATGGAAAAATCAAATTATTTTTCAACGCAGAAGGCAGAAGCAAATGGAATTTTAAAGACTTTTTTGCTGCGGTAATCGCTCTAATTATTTGTCCCCATTAAAATTTATCACTGAAAAACTTAAGAGCAGTTTTTTTATAAGCTATTCATATTCTATTATCTGTCCTTTCCAATGCTCATGATGAATTATCACTAGCTCAACTTTTGGGTACACAAGAGGCGATACACTTGGCAGAATAATATTACCAATAATTACTGTCATTAATGCAAATTGAGCAAAACCAGTAAAACTTAATTACCAAAGAAATAATAACCTTTAAACTGAAAATACAACAGTATATGCAGAAGTTCAGCTTGTAATGGCTTGATTGTGGCAGAAGGAGTGCTGAGCAGGGTTTAGATTTTGGTTCTACACGCTAAAGTAGCTAATAATAAGCTGCATAAATTTATAGACTGTTAATATAAGGGACATAATGTAAGAACCAGTATTACATGAAGCTGTTTATATATACAAAGTTTCTCTTAAGACATTTGTTTTGTAGGATTTGATACCACTATTTAAATCAGCTCTTTTAAAAAGCAGTGCACAGAAGGTTTCTCACAGAGGAAAACAGATTATCTGGATTCCTATTTTGATGGGAAAACCATGTTTTCTCATATTTTAAATCAACAGAGTAGACAATTCTTACAAAATTACTAGAGTTGCATAAAGCCTTAGCTCCATATATATCATGCCCAACATGTAAGTATTTTGAGGGTTTTGGTGTGGAAATATGCTTGCAATTCCAACTTAAATTGCAACCTCTCATCTCAGTTAAGAGGTCAGGAGTCTGGTTTTTTAGTGCTTGTATTATTTGTAATACATAATATTTTAATATTTGTAATATTGTAAAGACATAAGATTGAAAATTCAAATCAAAAAATCAAAATTCATGAAAATCACTTGGTCCTACTGAAGTAAAAGAATTTGGAAGTTTATGTCAAAGAATCAGAATTTCACCAGCTGTTTTATTCACATCCAAGATGAGGATTTTTAGCTTCGTGGCTTTCATTTCAATGCTACCCCTCCATCTTAGTCCTTATTCCTCTACATTTATAAGTTGGCTGAATAATAGGGAGGATTGTTCTAGGTTCTATTAGTTAACCCAATACTTTAGGATATTTGAAAAGTCAGCTGTTGAAGACAAACCATATTTTTACTTCTGAACTATCATCTCTGAAATAACCAGCTTAGGAGAAAGGTATTCTGAATTTCAAATAGTGCATGATCTTGAGTGTGCAGGTTTATGCAAATGTTACATATCTAATGTAACTCTGGAAGGTCTCATGCATTTCTTTTATGAATCCTCCAGAGCTCCTCAATTCAATTATGTTGTTCAGCAATCTGTCTCAAATATGAATTATGCGTGGTATTAAAAAAGGAAGTAATTCACGTGTTTTGCTTAACTTTGCTCTACTGAGATAGCTTTCTTTGGAATAAAGAACAGCAGAAATGCTTCACACTAAACTTTGTAGATTGACATTTTGAAATTAAGACTTGCCCCGGTGTCAGACACCTTAAATAAATATATTGTGTCAAGTGTGTGAAGAAAAAGGCATTTCTTAGGGGAGGATACCATTTACATTCACTTTGCAACCTACTGTATGCCATGTAATGTGCCATGAGCAACCTGTTCTAGCAGGTGTGCCTGTCTGTGGCAGGGAGGTTGGAATAAGATGGTCTTAAAGGTTCCTTCCAAACAGAACTGTTCTTTGATAATAGATAGAAACAGATTCTTTGATAATACAGGTGTTTTCCCCTGTAATTCAGAAGATAATGGTTCATATCAATTGAAAGTACAACTGCTGTTTAACTGAGAGCAAAAGCTGTTGTTTTCAGGCATGTGTTAAATGGTGACAGACACTGTAAAATACCAGATAGCCTAAAAAAACTGACAGCTGTGAATATTACAAAATTCTCTGGAGAGTCACCTTAGGCCAGCCAGTACAATGTTGCTGGTAAAATCCACCTGCTATCTAATGAGTACAAATGTTTAGGTAATATATATTTTAAAATAAACTATGGCACACATAGGTATATCTATAAATAGGAGTTGCACACCTATATATGTTCATGTCTGCATAGCCCCCTGTGCAGATTATGAAGCTTAAAGCTTTTGCAGGATCAACAACTGAGTAACTCTGCTTTCATCATTTAATAATAACATTTTGGTTTAACATTTTTACTGTAGATATATTCCTTCCCTGAAGCTGCTCTGAATTATCAACAGCCACAATGTCAGTTTATTTTGTTGTGGTAGGTTTTGAAAGGTAGCACTATTCAATGCAAATCAAGCTATTTTCTTTAACATCTGATGTTTCTGTTTCTAAAAGAGATAGCTGCAAGCATTTCTTTAATAAAAGATCAGCAATTTGGGAAGAAATTTTCCTACTTAAGCAATCTCTGATTGATTCATTCCAGAAACCAACTCACCCCTGAAAACAGGGAATTTTGCATTGATCTTTATATTGCTTCGAGACCTTTGTTTTACTGACAGTAAGTGAAAACAGTACACAACATGTTTGGGCTGTACCCTGAGGGACAAAGCTGCTCCATCCTTCTTTGAGAAGAGCATCTCGTGAAAAGCTGCTGCTACCGGTCCTTCAGCTTTTTACAGCTCCTTGATGTGTCTACCAAGTTAGAGATGGTAGGACTGGGCTGAAGAATGAAAATTAAAGCCCTCTGTAGAGATTTGGACCTCTCATTTTATGGACTTCGAATTAATTTGAAAGACTGTTAGATTTTAGAGATCCATGGTCTGAACTATTTAATTCCAGTTTCTTGGCATTGCACAGATTGTGTGGGGATTCTGCCTTTGTCAGACACCTTTATTCACATTTCTAGAAGGAAAACATACTTATTTGGCTATTCTTTGCCAAATCATCTTCACATAAGTGGATGACCTTGTTCTTACTTTCATTTTCTCTTCAATTGTCATTCTTTGGCAGTGCAGACAAAGCCCTGAATGAGCTATCCATCAGCAACATGGAGATGTTGTTTGGAATTAGGCCAGAGCTCTAAATATTTCATTTCTGACACTACAGACATTTCTGTAGTGACACTACAGACATTCTGACATTTCTACTTTTATTGTCTTAACAAAATATTATTTCCTTGTCTCTGCTCCCATAACTCAGGGTGAATTATAGAGAGATTTTGATGCACTCTGCATCCCATTATCATCATTAAAACTACCTGTTCTCAATGGACTGATAGACTGAAAACAGTGACAAACACCCTTACTAATACAAACATTTACTGGCACACTTCACCAATTTAACTGCAGGCATAGTTTGATCAATGTAGAACACCAAAAATGTTGTAGAGTACCTGCACTCAAAGAAGTTTAACATACACATAACACCAATCATTGCTTTAAAATGGCTTGCTTGCAACCTTTGATGATTAGAGCAGCCTGTATACCAGGCCATTACCCTATGTCCTTCATGTGATATTCCTAACAGCAACTTTGGTATATTTTAATTACAAAGGATATACACAAGCATCATGGCTACCTGGTAAGATTTCAGCCTTTAATCTACCTTCTAAAATATAATGTCATTCATCAGAACTAGATCTGCTGAAATGGTAGCAGAAATCTCCAGTATTTTCCAAGCATATTATTTTCAGTTTACTGCAACGAGGTCCAGTATGTAATGATCTAATGTGAATACAGACTGACTAAAGCCACTC